TTATTTAAATGTAATATCGAAGCAGAAATAATAACTAGAGAAAAGTTGGGAAGTAGAGTTTCTACATAAAAAATAACTTTAAATACGGATAATTCTTCATTGTTACCGCTTATTTTGTACAGAAAAAAATTTCATTTAGTTTTAGCATTTATTATGGCAATTAATAAATCGCAAAGAAAAAGTTTTGAGAGTGTTGGTTTATCCTTAGAAAAATCTTTATTTATTCACCTACAATTGTCTGAAGCTTTATAATGATGCAAAACTAAAAATAGTATATTCACACAAATTGAAGGGGAATAAGAAATATTTGTTATTCATTGATGTTCAATGAAAAATGGTAAAACAAATTTTTTGACAAAAAAAAAAAAAAAAATTTTTAAGAATACATTTATACTGTTTTACTAGAATTCAGGTACAGAGAAGTCTAAAATTTTTAGATTTTTTCTCGGAATAGGATAAATGACGTAATCAACAAGTGAAAAGTATCGTTGCATCATTAAACTACAGTATTAGTGTGATTTTTTACCTAAATTCATAAGGATATGCATATTTCACAATCTTATAAGAAATTCACTGTTTTGATTACACACCTTACCTAAAAGTAATGGTAATATCGTAATACTTTTTACTACGCGATAATAACTTTTCTATCAAAACTTTTTTTTTTGTATTTTTTGTTAACAACAAAGTCGATAATAGGCGCAGTACCTACATTGTGTCCCTAAAATCGATGTCCTCTGAAAGCAATACTTGTCAGCGTATTTCATCTCAATCTCTCCTTCAATGAATTTAGGTTTGGATTAATTTTTGAAGCAGGAAATCAATGTACGTTCCTGCTTCTTTGCAAAAAAATAAACAATTTTTGTAAATATGTCCACAACTTCATGTACAAACAGTTTAAGTAAGTAAACATTCAGCTCAAACAGGCTCGATAATACATTTATTGACGGTCTTAGGGCTTCATAAAAGAGGCAAATAAAAAGTTCTTGATCTAATCTATAAAATTGTTTATATATTGCATGAGTTTCCTCAAAGTTTGCCTTAGACAGTTGATAGTTGGGTCATCTTTTCCTTCATGCAATAATGAGGAAGTAATTGCATGTATTCTCCATTTTCATAACTATTTCAGTTTCTGATATTTCGTCCGTAATGGTATAAGAAGCATACTTCAATTCTATTCTCCTCCCACATATAATGATACACTTAGTATACGAAATTTTCTCCCCCTTGATAAAATTCCTATGGGGATTGGCCAACTGCATTCGAATAAACCTACTGCTTATGGGTTCAAGATTCATACACATGTTTGTAATTCTATAACCTTCAAACATGTTTATATCTAACAGCAAAATGTATTATCATTCAAATTACCTTACTGCTTCTAAAAGTGTATGTTCTTAATAGAGCAATACATTCATGGTTTGTATTATTGTATAATTAACTATTATTTAAATTCAAATTAGTATTAGTATTATTTCATACATAAGCAAATAAAAAATTTAAATTTTCTACATGGTTCATCAACAACATTACCAGAAAAAGCTTAGTGTACTAAAAACTTTATACTTACACATAAGTTGAAATAAAATTGATATAATCCTATTTATCATGTTAGCATAGTTATATAAATGACCTAATAATTCATTATTCGTATGTATAACGTTCATTTATTTTCATTCTGGTCGGTTTGGGAAAATGTATGAAAAAACGAATTTGAACGAAAAGAATCAAGTATGTATAGGGTCAGTAGAAAGCGGTTGGGTGTTTTTACAAGCAATAATATAAGTCAAAATAACGGAAACGATGTCCGCATACATTGACTATATTTTTAATGAATATAATACTAGCAAATAAGAATTTAAAGATTATGTCTCATTGTAGTTCGCTTATACAATAAAATGTATAATTCGAATTATATTCATTTATGTATGTATGTGGGTACATGTAAGGGTCCATAAAAATTATTAAGTTATTGGTAATGGGAGGCCTCTCATCTTTTTTCTCGTCCCTTTTTAAATTTTCAAGCGTCCTTATTAGTTGACCTTGTGCACTTAGTATTTACCACAAGAAAATACACCATACACACATATGTAGGTGTCCACATAATTATTATACAGATAGAGTGGTATTGATAAGCGTACTTGGTACTGATACAACAACGTTCTTGAGGTCGTGAATTTTATTCCTGGTGAATGAAGATTTTTTCAAAATATGATAGGGATTAGGGTATCCAATGCTAGGTGCCAGGCAGCGATTGCCAGCATTACCAGCAAGGAGTGGTCCCTGCAACATGGAACTTTTTCGGGGATGCTAGTGAGCCTGAATCCTATGCTTAAACACAGAGCGCAGGCTTAATTCGCGAGGAGTGGACGATTCTGAGATACGGAGTCTCCTTCAGAAAAAAGCTACACAGTGGTGAGTAAATCCAATGCACTATTTGTGCAGAGAATGCCAGTTTAACTAGCAACGTGTTTCACCGAGATATTCTTACTGTGCCCATGGTATAATAGGTATAATGTCAGTTAGGTAATCGGTAAATAGGTACGGCATGCCACCCCTACACTTCGAGTGAGTGATCCCAGTGCCTAGGCCAGTAGGCTGTTGCAGTAACCCAATAAAAAAATACATCAGAATTCGTATACAAATAAAGCTCATATTGAGCGGAAATAAGTTGCAGGGTTTCCTGCAGTTTTCAAACGCATATCACCATGCTATGGCAAAAAATTGCTAAAATCTACAAAATTTGGAATCGAAAATCAAAGTACAAGTATAACGCGAGACTGTTGTTATTTTTTTTTGACAAAGCACAAATAATACAAATAAGCTTCAGAAATTGTTGATTGTACAATGAGATACATCTCTAAATCTAACAAACTCTTATTAGTTCTAGGTAGTAATTTTCTAGCCTTTTTATAAAACTTCAAAATTAGTAACTAACATAGGATCGATTAAAGAAATGTTGTTATCACTACTATTTAAATTATTAGACTAAGATACAACAAAATAATTTAATCAAAAAGAAAATAAATAACATACAACTTTTGTTCAGAAATTTGTGTAAACGTTAATAATCTTTCAATGAATAACGTTATTTTGATATCTCATAATAAAGTAACGCATTTTTTTAACAATAAAATTTAAATCTTAGTAACTGCAGAAAGTAAGACTTATTACAGCATACATTATGCAATTTATAAAGGAATTAATAAAACTGATGAGAATATTACTACAAGTTTTATAATTAAATATTTCAATTTTGATAGAAAAGGTCTACTACGAACTAGATTTATAAATTAGTGCCATTGTTACGCTCATGAAAAATTTATGTACTTCAGAAAGATTGTGTTACGGCACGAGACTTGAAATAACAAAATTAATTACATTTTACCTAAAACGGAGAAAACTGTAGAAGAGCTCAGTAGAATAAGGGGAGTAAAATTGACTTAAGGTAATTCCCTTGTCTACTGCTCTAGTCAAGTAGGAGAGTTTCACTTGTGTATGTATACGTATATACGTACATCAGTGTTGGTATTCTGCTACCGTCTGTCATTTATAACCGTGAAGCTGATTTTCACGTCTTTCTCGGCAAATATCTTTAAAAAATGCCCCATTACTAGCATTTCACATGACAGGATTGAGAAGAACAGAGATTTTTCTACAAGTACATGATAATTTGTCTGCTCAGATTTTTTATTGTGAGTTGGGAAATGCCTGTAAAGCTGATATTTTGATGCTCTGCCATTTGAGCTCGTGTTAAACAGTTCAACTTTGATCTTAAATATCTCGAGATTCTGCTCCACTTGGGGTATATAAGCAAGGGCACCGTTGGATGTACTGTCGGGGGACTTATTGGGGACAGTGAAAGGATTATGTAGAATACCCCACGCATTTAACTATATAATATAGTAAGATATGCAGGGTATTAAGATTGTTGCACGCGTCTACTTGTACGTATATATTAGTATAATAAAATTAGTTTTACGACCCCGAAAAGTTTGAATAGTTCGAAAAAAAATAGAGCAATAGTGTCAATGCATGGTAACAAATTGACACAGAATTAATTAAGTATAATCGTCAGCCAAATCCCCCCTCGAAAAAGCAAAAATGGTCACAATTTGTTTTTTGTGTCTAGAACAAAACCAAAGAATCGCACATAAAAAATACCCACAAAATTCACGCCAGATCGGTTTTAAACTTTTTGCGAATCGTAGCAAAAAGCGAAAAAAGTTTATCTCTTGAGACGGCGTTAAAAAAGTTGTTAGCTAACGTAAATACATTTTTCAAACGTGTTTATCTTCCTCTAAATTTACTCTACAAGTACTTAAAACGCTGTTAGTAGTTACCGACTAGAAATATCTTCCAAGTCAGTTTGAAAAATACGTTTGAAAAATACGATTGAAAAATGTACCTATGAGGGCTGAGAACTTTTTTATGGCCATTTTTGGAGAGAGCCTTATTTCGGTATTAGCTGTGATTCGCAAAAAGTTTAAAACTGACCAAGCGGGAGTTGATGTGTATGTTAAGGACTAAAGTTTCAACCTTGGGATCAATTTTCAGCTATTGTTGTTGCGTTGCAAGTTATTAAGTTTCAAAAAAATGGCTCAAAATGGCAGTTTTTTGCGATATGCAAAAAAACGGCCGAACCGACTTGAACTCAATGTGGCTCATTTTGTTCGACCCAAAATTGTGCATCTTTTTACTCATTAATTTCTTATGTGCGATTCTTTGGTTTTACTTAGACGCGAGAAGCATCTTTTAGCCATTTTTGCCATTTTTTTTGGGCTTTTGGTAACATTTCTACTTGTTAAATTTTGTGTCAATATGTTACCATGCATTCAAACTGCTACTCTATTTTTTTGAGCTAGTCAGAATTTTTAGAATATCGATATGATTTTTGGCTAACTGTACCATACTTAAAACTGTTACTGTATCAGCATGCGTTCATGTGAAAATTAATAGGAAAATAGATTAATAGAAAACTGATTAAAATAATTATTTACCAGTGTCAGTTAAAAAATCTTTCCACAATACATCTGCTTTTGTTTTTTCATTGCTACTTGAAGACTGACAACATTCTTCTAAGATGTTTTCTGATGTCTCCAATGGTGAAATCCGTACATTTACATTATCTATTTTAACGTAGCTGGAATTTTCATGGTTTTTTTTTCTTTTTTTACTAGCAATCATTGAAACTTCATTGTAATCAATTCTTGAATGTATATTTTCCGATTTTCGGAAATTATTAACTAAATCTTTTTTTATTTCATATGAATAATCAGGATCATCAGAATCCGAGTTGTCAGAATTTTGATTGAACATAATGTTCAATTAGCATTCCTAGAAAAACGTTAAAAAATTTTCAGAATAAAATGAGTTCTTAAATGCATATTTTTTGATTTTTTGAAAATAATAAGCTAAATTTTTTTCATTCAACTTAAGAATCAGAATCATCAGAATCTAAATTGTCACAATTTTTATTGATCGTAAGGTTCAGTTAGGATTCCTAGAAAAACGTTAGAATAATTTTTAGAGTAAAATAAAAAAAATCAAGATGTTAATTAACATCTCAAACTTGCACGATAACACGAAGGATAAGGGAACGTACAAGGCAAATAGATATACATTTGTTTATTCAATAAAATCACTTTATTTACTTTACTTTTTGTCCCAGTACAATGTATTTTCAACTTTGTTGTTTTCTAGCACTTTTCTAATCAAGGTTTTTCTAAAAACAACCACTTCTGTTTTTGTTAAAAAAAAAAAAAAAAAAAAATACAGTCTGTTAAATAAACTTAAGCGTATGTTTCAAAGCAGATTGTAATTAATATAACTGAACTGGCCGAGGTACAGAAAAGAAGTAGAAGGAGAAGCAGGCAGCGCCGTTACGCTTTTTTCACTGCTACTCATGTGCAGTTCTAGTTAAGGTGGACGTCACTCTACTTTTAAGCGCTGATGGACCTGCACACCAAGATCAACTTAGCAATGAGACATTCATAATATAATTCTTCTTATTTTAATCTAGTCACAGATTTCTTACAAGAGATCTTACGTTTTTCTGGCTCTGATTAAAAGCCTTAAGAGGTCAAATTTATAAACTAAACAACACTCCACAAACCATACATTGCAATAAAATATGAAAAGTAAAAATGAAATTAAAAAACTAGTTAACACTATAATAAATAAACACCAAAAAATTGACACAGTGAAAGTTTTGTGTAGAAAATCACTGATGTCGATTAAACTGTATGTTAAACATACTGCCAAAATTATGTTCAAGTTCAAACTTTGCTCAAGTTCCTTATGCATACAGGTAGCAGTCAGTCAAAGCTTATTATTTTTCGAAATTCGTCAAAAATTTGGAAAAATTTTCTTAGTTGGTCAACGTTTATTTTCTTATTTTATTGCATAAGTAGTTAAACTGATGTACGTTTTTTCTGATAGTATTACTTTTTTAATTGACTCTCTGCCACAGATTTTTACCGAATCAAAATTGTAAAAAGATTTTAAAACATGGTCAGAGACTGCTAAGTATTTTTTTATACATTTTTCTGTATTTTCTGGCAAGATGTGTTAATGCACTTTTTTTGTCAAAATACTTATAGACTCAGTCACTATAATAGAATTTCAACTTTTTAAATCAAACCATTACTCACAAACGGGACTGATATTAAAAAGTTTGGAAGTCATGTTTGTGTAATGAGATAACGCCTCCCCATTAGGTTTTTTTATCTAATCGGATTATTATTTTCAAGCAGGGACTGCCTTACCATATATTTATAGTCTTATTGTGAAAACATTTATATTGTAACAAAATGCTTTTTTTCAGAAGACAACCCAAGGTCACAGAAATAACTTGCTTAACCTTGACATTTTCAGACCACCACAGATGTTTGGGGTTTTATTCGTGTCACCCAGTTAAATGTTGGTTCTTTGCGTAAGCATTAACCTGAGGTTCACGTTCTTATAGAACAACAAAATGTTGATGTTTTATCGATCTCGTCGTGGCTGACCCTGAGTTAGTGCTCATCACTTTTTATATGACCAGGTTACGCTTCTCTGTGGAATAATAAGGGCTTTAGAGCGATGGGTACAAGGTGTAAATATGTACAGAGTGATGATATTGCTTGTTATATGTGACACAAATTATGGGAGTGGAACTTCTTTAGGCGCAAATTATTTAGGAAGTTAACCCAAGAAACGAGCAAGTGAACGCTGCCGTACACATATGTATTCATATACACCGTGTATCGAAAATGAGTGAGGAAAACTATACTACGCGATAAAGCTCGGCAAGACGGATATAAAATCTCCTTACAAAATTTTGATTTGATGCGCATTCTCCGAGGTATTGAAAAATTAACATTAATAATTTCGGCTAATCACAGAGCGCTTAGCGTTGGGGGGCGGGCTCTCAGTGCCGGTAGTGTAATCGACTCTTGATGGAGGGTGCGGTGGTGGGGAGGTGCCTAGGGGAAAAGAAGGTTGGTACGCAGAGTGTAGCTTTATCGACTGCAGAGAATCAATGAGTCGTCAAACCGAGAAGTAATGCAAACACTGCCGAAATGAATGAGGATGTAGCAATAATAAAAGGGATATTAAAAGAATGCTCTTGGTAGTAATAATCTGAATAACTAATTCGCTTTTCTCCAAATTTTTAGCACATCTCTGAAAATAAACTCTACAGAAAGAAAAAGGAGTCATAAAAGGACGCTGGCAAAGCAGTGTAAACACTTGACTCAAATTGCCAGTCCTCAAGTATGGAGAGCGAAAATGATAATTACTCACCTTTGAGCACACTCACTGGTGACAGCTCAGTAAACTCCAAAAATTACGACTAACTGACCAGTTGGCTTATTGCAAATCTAAAAACCAATCAATGTATGGATTGGAGCAAGCGCATAATTTTCTAGTGTCAGATGATGGTTCCACTAAGAGGAGAAGTCCATTTTATGACTTTCCACTTCTTCGCACACTCACTGGTGAAACATAAGTAAGATTACTCAACTGAGACCAACTGACCAGTTAATCCACTGCACAACTAAAAACAAAGATAATTAGAGTTCACACTAGGGCAAATACAAAAACTTTGAGTGTTACTGTAACTTTTAGTACTAATCCACTGGAAGGCTGTTCGAACACTTACTGTTGACTACTCCGTATACTAGCATAACTGAAACCTTCTTGCCAGTCAGTTCAATACATAACTAAAAAAAGAAAATCTGATTACAAGCTAGGGCATGAACAAAAATGACAAGGGTTGCAGGATGCTTTTGGTACCAGCAGAAGTGTACTTGGCGCAGGTGCTCTGCATTGTCAAACTAGAATACCCCTTCATTTGCAGAACATCTCTCAAAATGAACGCTTCAGGTTAACCACAAATACACAAAACTGTGGACCAGGTATTGTTTAGGTAAAAATACTGTATTGCATGTGCAGCATTATCTGAAATGAAGAAAACCACAAAGAACCACGCATTTAAAAAAATCAATGTAAATGTATGGGTACATGCTGTATACGTATCTGACGTAACAAGATTTACATAAACGATGTTCGGTACCATAACACATAACTTTTGATGATTAGCCTACATAGTTACCTGCAGGCGCAAGCTGCTGTGACGGCGCGGCCGGTGTTCAGGTAGGTATCAGGCTTTTCCGGACTCTCATCTTTGTTTACACGTCAAGCGCGTCTCTCATGACGGTAAAAGAGCAGACGACAAAGAACTGTCGATGTACCTCTACTTATTCAAATTTTTTGAGATGCAAGGGAACAGTAATTTAGAAAAAAAAAAATTTCAGGCAGTTACAGCAGATTCTCGTAAATAACTGTTTTATAGTTAATGCATAGTACTAAAGTGAAATAGAACCTTAGCATTATTTTTTTAGCCCTGAAAAGGGCTGATGGTTTAAGTTTATGATTACAGGAGTTGCTCAATGTGTCCTCCGTTGACTCTAAGAACGAGGTTGGCACGACGAATGATGTTGTTTACGGCTCATTGCACCATACCCTGTTCTCGCACAATGTTGAAGGCGTTGGTGATTCTCTCACGACAGTCTTCTTCCCTGAGAGTTTCAGTTTTGTACACGATCTCCTTCACCCAGCCCCACAAGAAGTAGTCAAGTGGGGTCAGATCTGGTGATCGTGCTGGTCATTAAATTGGACCACCTCGTCCAATCCATTGGTCGGGATAGCGCTCATCCAAGAGCCTCCTGACGTGAGCGGAAAAGTGCGCTGGAGCTCTGTCATGCTGGTAGATCATAGCTAAACGAACGTTCAGCGGGATTTCTTCTAGCAATCGCGGTAGTGTATCCCTCAGAAAATGCAAATACGCTGCTGTGTTCAGTCTGGGTCGAAAGAATACTGGTCCAATCTGTGTTCAAATTGAACAAATGTTAAATTGATTATGCTAAATACTAGGATTTTCAATTATTGACGTGTAGACTATACTTTAGGGCTCGATATGTTTAAATAATAATGATGTACTTACAACTCGATCACCGATGACTCCAGCCCAAACATTAATATTCCAACGGTATTTGAATATTGTAGGTCGTGTAAGCCGCGGATTTTCTTCAGCCCAATAATGGTAATTATGCTGGTTCATCATACCATTTCTCGTAAACGTGCACTCGTCACTCCACAAAATGTAGTTCACAAATTCAGCATTGATGCGCACTTAAGCTAACAAACCCGTACAAAAGTTGACTCGCGGTTGCTGATCACGCTCTAGCAGTTCCTGCACACGACGGTAATGATAAGGATGCTTACCGCTATCAGCCATTACTGCTTGGACTTGTCCTTGGGTCAACACAGATTGGACCAGTATTCTTGCCACCCAGACTGAACGCAGCAGCGTATTTGCATTTTCTGAGGGATACACTACCGCGATTGCTAGAAGAAATCCCGCTGAACGTTCGTTTAGCTATGATCTACCAGCATGACAGAGCTCCAGCGCACTTTTCCGCTCACGTCAGGAGGCTCTTGGATGAGCGCTATCCCGACCAATGGATTGGACGAGGTGGTCCAATTTAATGACCAGCACGATCACCAGATCTGACCCCACTTGACTACTTCTTGTGGGGCTGGGTGAAGGAGATCGTGTACAAAACTGAAACTCTCAGGGAAGAAGACTGTCGTGAGAGAATCACCAACGCCTTCAACATTGTGCGAGAACAGGGTATGGTGCAATGAGCCGTAAACAACATCATTCGTCGTGCCAACCTCGTTCTTAGAGTCAACGGAGGACACATTGAGCAACTCCTGTAATCATAAACTTAAACCATCAGCCCTTTTCAGGGCTAAAAAAATAATGCTAAGGTTCTATTTCACTTTAGTAC